CCTCCTCTTCCTCCTCCTCCTCCTCCTCCTCCTCCTCCTCCTCCTCCTCCTCCTCCTCCTCCTCCTCCTCCTCCTCCCCTCCCCCTCCTCTCCTCCTCCTCCCCCCCCCCTCCCCTCCTCCCCCTCCTCCCCCCTCCTCCTCCTCCTCCTCCTCCTCCTCCTCCTCTTCCTCCTCCTCCTCCCTCCTCCTCCTTCCTCCTCCTCCTCCTCCTCCCTCCTCCTCCTCCCTCCTCCCTCCTCCCTCCTCCCTGGCAGTGCCCATGGCTTGCTACATACAAGGTCAGCCGAGCAGCACGCCCCTGCACATGCTGAGGAGCATACGCCTACCCACACCCATGTGCCTGCTCAGGCAGATCCAGCGAGCCTTTCCCCCTACTTCTGCCCGTGCCCCTTCGCCGGGCGAACGCCGACACGAGCCACTGCGCATGCCGACGCCAATGCACCTGCAGCTGGCCATGCCCTTCTGCGCTCGCGCCCTTCTCCGCGCACGCTGCCGATGTCCCCCGCGCATCTCCGTGCCCGTGCTCCACCCCGGGTGCTCCCTCGGCGGCGAGCCCGGGCAGGCACTGAGCGGGGGCCAGGCCTGCTCCGAGGGCGGCGGGGCCGGGCCTCGCAGGCGCCCCCTGCGCCTCTCACCCGAGAGGCCGGCGGTGGCCTCGGGGGCGCGCGAGGGCCTCCGAGAAGCCCCGCCGCCCTGCGAGGAGGCCTGCTTGTCTCTTGGGCATGCCGCGGGGCCAGGGCTCGAGGTGTCAGGAGAAGGCCTGCCCCCCCTCACTTCCTCCCCGGGCTCGCCGGGTCCGAGAGGCCAGGGCCTCCCCCACCTGGTCTTGACACCTGCCCGTCGTGGTCGTTCGTCGGTTCGCTCGTCGCTCCCCCCTCCGTTCGTTGGTTCGTTCGTTCGTTCGTCGTTCCCCCTGGGCTCGCCGTCGGTCTCCAGCAGCGGTGCCCGCATCGCACACGAGCGCTGCTGCCCGCGCAGGCTCATCGGCCCGGCTCCTGGTCGTGTCGGGCCAGTCCAGGGGGAAGGGGGCGTCTCGCCGACCGCCCGTGGGCCCCTCGACACCCGAAGGGAGTAGGTTATAGTCGAAACCGATGACAGGGATGGGTAACTCGGCCACGCGCCGGAGGGGGGATGGGGAGGTGGGGAGGCTTCTTAGAAACACCTCTGCTTCTTAGAGGGCGCGGGTCTTCTCTACCTGTGTAGGGCCCGCGCCTTCTAAGAAGCAGCCTCCTTCTAAGTAGCCTACCCCCCTCCCCCTACCCTTTTGTGCGGGCCGCCAAATAGGATGGGTAACTTTCCCAAGGGTACCTTCGCATCCTTGCCTCTTCGGTGCATCCTTGACCCTTTTTTCTATCAGTCTTGATTGAGGTCCCTCGAAGCCCGGAAAGAACAGCTTATATCCCCATCCGAGAAGGTAAGTCGGCCAGTGGGCCCCAGGCCCCGCCAGTGGGTGGGTGCTTTCGTCACGGGACCTGCCCAGGAGGCTTCAGACCCTGCAGGATTCCTTATACTTGATGAGGGCGGCGGTGGTATCCAGAGCCGCTCCACGATGGGAGTTCCACCCGGCTTCCAGACCCTGGACTCCATACCCAATTGGTTCCTCACCCTGCGCCAATTGGGATCGGTTAAGCGATACTCATCTCTCTGGCTCGTCGTCCAGGGTGGGGCGCGCGCGCTCACCCCTGGCCCGCGAGGGTGCGGGCGTCAGCGAGGCGCTGGCGGAGGAGATGCCCGCGGTGCAGGTCCGAGCAGCCCCCTCCCGAGGCCCAGGTAGCAGGCCTCCCAGGTGGGGTCCGAGCGGATGAGGTCGGAGGATCGCGCCGCATCGCTCGCATCGCATAGACTCGAGATCCCGAGGTTCGAGCGTCGAGGTTTCTGGGCGCTCTTCGCAGTTGTGTGGCGGGCTGGGGCGTTCCCGTCGCCACGGCTGGAGTCGCTGCGAGCTTCTGGTCCAAGCGCACCCTCGGGCACTTCTTTCACCGTCCGCATGGCGCCCTGTGGCAGAGAGGAAGAGGAGGAGGAGGAGGAGGAGGAGGAGGAGGAGAGGAGGAGGAGGAGGAGGAGGAGAGGAGGGGGAGGGGGGGAGGAGAAATGCAGCCGGCTCAGTCAGGCGCGCCCGGGCGCGCCGCGAGGCGCAGCCGCAGCGAGGCGCAGCCGCAGCGCCTCGCGCAATCCGGCTTCCGCGCCGCCCGACCGCGTCGCGGTGCCCACTCGCGGGCCCCCGGGGCGGCGACCCGGGTGGGCTCCCAGCGCGGGCACTGCCACGGGCAGTGCTCCAGGTCCTCCGGCGCTGCGCCGCAGCGGGGGCACACCGCCGGTTGGCCCCACGTCGCGGCCCACCTTCTCGGTCACCACGTTCCCCGCAATCACGGCGCGGAGTGCCCCCTGGGGCGCCTGCTCGCCGCTGACCAGCAGCCGCGCCGTGGCTCAGCTGTCAATGCCGCCCGCGACGTGCCGGTGGGCCACGCGCCTCTCCGCCAGCGAGCGCGCCCCGCGCAGGGACCACGCTCCGAACAGCACGGCGCGAGTGCCCAGCAGACTCCCGTCGGCAGGGCAGCAGCCTGCCGGGGCGGCGCCCACCCCGGTCCAGCACTCGGCGTCCGCGCCCAGGTGCAGCTCCGCCGGGCTCCCGAGGGCGGCAGAGGCGGGCCCGCAGCCGCGCCCACGGCCTGCGCCGGAAGCCGCTGCCGCGTCCTGCCACAGCTGCCTGGGGAGGCGGCACGGTCGGAGCGCACCTTGGCGGCTTGGTCGGAGCGGCGCCAGTACCGCGACCGCCGCCGGGTCCGGCCGCCAGCTCGGCGCCAGCACTCCGAGCACGACCTCTGCGGCCGCCCGCATGCCATGCCACCGCGGCAGGCCGCGTTTCTCTGTCGGCCCGCCCCGCTGTCCAAGGCAGAGATGCGGGGGGCACCTGCCACGCTGGCGATTAGCCGGGCGTGACGCCCCGAGTACGAGTAGTTCTCTCCCGCGGCGGCGCCCGCCGGATTGCCAGGGGGCGCGTCGGATGTTTGTGCCACTACTCAGACCGCTTGCCGCGCCGCCGTGCGGAGGCCAGCCACTTCCCGCGCCGCCGGCCGGCCGCGCCGTGCAAGCCGTCGGCCGTGCCGGCGGCGGCGCCCAGCCGGCAACTTGCGCCAAAGCCGAGTAGCGTCTGATGCCCAGTCGGCCAGAATGGCTCCGCACGCGACGCGCGCAGCCGATCCGCGATGGCAGCGCAGCGAGGGGCCCTGCCAACTGTAGCGGCCACCCCCAAGTCACGGGACTTCGTGCTCGCGGAGATCCCAGGAGTTTGTTCCGATAGCCAACGCTCAGGGGCGGCCTAACCGACCCATAGTAAACCACCCCCTTCGGTGACGTCCCCCTCGCCTCGCCCCAGGACGTATGTACGCGGCCAAAGGGAAGCTTGAGGGGCGAGGGCGACGTCACAGAAGGGAATGGTTTGCGAGGCGTCGATTAGGCCGCGCCCGAAGCGCCGGAACACCGCGCGACTGGCGAATTGGCGGGATTTCGTCCGATATCCGATTCAGCTTCCAATCCCAGAGCTCTTCTGCCGTGTCGCCGCTAGCCTCGGCAGCGACCGACGTGCACTCTGCGGCGGAGGCGGTTGCTCACGCGGCCTGTGTGCACCATCCATGGCCGCGTCCGGACTCCGAGCACGAACACCGCCAGGGGGCAGGCCGTCAGCAGGCCATGCTCGAGCGACCAAGCCGAGCCGATGGCTTTGCCAACCCGCACCCGGCGACTCGCCGAAGAGGCCGCCAGTGCGGGCCCCGGGGCACAGGGCGGCACACCTGCCCAGGCGAGCACGGCTGACACCGTGCGCAGGCCCACTTGTACGCCTTGCGCCAATCCAGAGCAGCACCCACCATCTCTTCGGAGAGGGCGTCGCCCGCCTCCAGCTCCAGGGCGAGCCCCCGAGCGAGGTTCTCTGCGCGCGCCGCCACTCGTCGCTCTCCGACTCGCACCGCCACCTGGGCGAAGAGGCGCGCCCGCCAGCAGCCTAGAGCCTGCGCAGGACGGACCACAACCAGATGCCCAGAGGCCTCCTAGCCCCAGCTTCTTGCGCTGAGGTCTGCGCCGCAAGAGCGAGCCGATGGACCCGGCCGTCCCAGGCGCCCGCTCCGGCAACGCCAGCAGCCAGTCCAGCTCCTGCAGCCGCTCCTGGGCGACCCGCGGGCCCGGCGCACGCTGCCAAAGCTCCCTCCAGGGGCCCTCCTAGGAGCGTCGCCGCGCCGCGGGGCCGCGCTGTTAAGGCCAGCGGCCACTGCCGGCTGCACGGGGACGGGGCGCCAGCCACAGCGCCGCCGCCGCCGGCAGCAGGCACGAGTGCGGCACCAACACTGCCGCCGCCGCGAATCCAGCGGTACAGCCTGCCTCCGCCGTTCGCGAGCGAGCCCTCCACCCAGCGACGCCACTCCGTCTGCCGCCTCCCGCGCGCCGCAGCCCGCGCGAGCTGCCACCCAGCCTCCGCGCGCTCCAGGAGTGCTGCAGGAAGGGCCCCATCGGGCTGCCAGGCGGCCAGCGCCAGGGCCCAGTCCGCTTCTGCGGTGTCGGCGGCGCGCGGCGCTCGCAAAGTCGCAGCCGCCGCGCGCCTCGCGGTGCCTGTGCTGAGCGTGCTGCAAGCTCATGAGACGCCGGACGCGCAGCAGAGTTGCGTCCGCAGCAGCATCGGCAGCTTCCCCGCCGCCTCCTGCTGCGGGAGGACGTTCGGCTCGCGTGGCGGCTGCAGCGTGCGAGGGCAAGCAAGTGGGCCCTGCCGCCACCAAGACGTCCCTCCATCTGGCCATGGCCAGGACGCCATCGTTCCCAGAACTGGCCAAACTGAAGTTCAGGTCGCCCATTAGGCAGGCCAGGACGTCTCCAAGCCCGCAGAGCCACTCGACGGCCAGCCACCTCTTGCGCGTCGTTGGGCTCGAAAGGCTGGGCTGCGAGCTCCGCCTCCACCAGCGCCGCCTCCTCCGCCTCCCACTGCGCCACCTGCGCGGCGAACTCTGGGAAGTCCCGGTTCGCCGCAGTGCGGGCGCGGATGGCCGCAAGGCGCCCTCCGTCCGCGGGCCCCGTCGGAGCGACGCCGGCCCCCGCGCCCGCCGCTGCCGCAGGCGCAGCCCGCGGGTCCGCAGCGCCGGGCGAATTGCGCAGCAGGCGAGCCCGCCGCTGGACGCGCCCCTGGCGCGCGGCTCGGCCCCTGGCGCGCATCGCCTGGGCGGGGTCGGCGCGCACTGCCCTCGCCGAGGGCTCGCCGCCTGCCGCGGGCGGCCCATGGCGGCCGCACTCCCGGCGGGCAGCCTGGCAGTCCCAGCTGTCGGCTGTGCCGCACCGGCTGCTCCACACGGGCGTGCGGGCGCCTGTCGGCGCTGCAGCCGCTGCAGGCTTCTCCTGCGACCCCTCCGTCCCCGGGCCGGCCGGCCGCCGCCGCCGCCGCCCTCCAGGCTCGCCGCCAGCAGGCGGCCCAGCAGCCGCCCTGGCCAGCTCCGTGAGGGCCGTCTGGACCCCGGCCTGCCATGGCTGCGGGCGAGACTTGCCCGACGGCGGCCGCCGACTCATCTGCACTGGCGACGTCCACGGCGCGCGCGCCCCTGCGCACAACGGTGCACGCCCGCACGCCCAGCAGCGCCACCGCCAGCGCCAAGCCGCGCGAGCGGACTGCCCAAACGCGCGCTGGTCCGATGCCGAAGCAGAGGCAGCTCGAGCCTGCCCCACAGCGGCGAGCTCCAGGCCTCAGGGCTAGGCGTTGAACATGAGCCAGAATGGCTACGGATCAGGGGGGCGAGTTTCTCGGACCCCCGAGCCCAGACTAGATTCGGGATCGCGAAAGAATCGCGACGGACAGTTTGTGGCCACCATCGGCTTTCTGGGAGCCCTGATCCAGCCCCGCAGGGGCCGTCAAACGAGGCGGATTGAGAAGCCGCCCACGGGGAAGGGTTCGAGCCCTTCCAGGGTCCACGCTGTGAACAAACACACTGGTCGGAGGTTCGAGACCTTGGGTTGCATTTTTGTTGAGGCCAAGTTTAGCATCGGCTTTGATGCATCCTGTGTCGAAATGTGGCCTGATCCTGCTGAGAGTTGCTTGATAACTCTGGCGTGACATGTATCCTTGGCTCTGGCACTCTCCAGCCTAACACCCCTATAAGGTCAGGCAGGTCTGAGCGGATCCCTCCCATAGAAAACTAACCATACTCAAGCATGTTTGCCACCGCGGACCCTAAGCAGTAAGCTAGTGCACTGTGGATGTGTAAGCAATGTGGTGCAAGCTACGTCCTGAGGCTACATCGTGCAATCTATGTGGCGCAAGCCGTGTGGAACAGGCCAGGTGGTGCAAGCTGTGCCATGCAGGTGTGAGCCGTGCGGTGACATGCACGTCTGTGGTATGATCGGCGCCGTGAAACATACATCGTGGTGTGAGCCGTGCGGTCTCATGTGCAGTTCTGTGGGCAAGCTGTGGGGAACCCGCCGTGTGGTGCAAGCTGTGCGGCTGCCCGGCGCGGGAGGCGCCCACGAGGCGCCCACGGGCGGGCACCGGGCGAGCCTTCGGCTGCGCCAGGCGCTCCCGGGTGGTGCGAGCCGCGCTGCTCTGAGCTGCGGTGCTCGCGTTCCCCCCCCCCCCCTCGGAGAACATCTTGCCCCACGTCTTGCTGAGGGAGGAGGAGGAGGAGGAGGAGGAGGCGGAGGAGGAGGAGGAGGAGGAGGAGGACCAGCCAATTCCTGGAGGAAGAGAAGAGCCACTGAGCGCAAGCACTGCTTGGAAAATCACGTCATGGAGGTCTGCTCGGGTCTCACACGTCGGCGCCGGACCCCCCCCGGGCGGCGGCGCCTCTGGCGCTGCCCCTGGCGCGCTTCGAGCGTCAGGGGAGGGGGGCTGGGCGCCGTGCGGACCTCCGAAGGGATCCGAAAGGGTGCGCTCGTGTTGCTTCGGACTGTTACTACATGCCAGGCCTCTGACGTCCTGATTCTTCAATTCAGTTCTAGACGCTTCGCGTAACCCCACCAGCGTTCCTCGGTTCCCCCCTCTTCTGTCCGCGCGTGCTCTCGCGCCCGCCGCCTTTCCCCGCTCCTTCGCCTCCTCGTCGTGATGGACGGTGCGGCTCACTGGCCCTCCGTGTTGCCACAGCGCAGCGTGACCCACGCCAGTACGCGCTGGTCAGTACGGTTCGAGCTGGCGCCACTGTGCGACTCCTCCTCCGTCTGTTTCCGTCCGATGCCTGCGTCCCCGCTCCTGGGTCGCCCGCATCCTAATGGGGGGCATTTTGTCCCTGGCACGTGCACTTGTTGCGTCGGCCTATGCGCCGTCGTAGCCAATTATCTCGCGTTGCGCCACTGCCGAGACCGTCCCGCTTCCTGGAGCTGTCTTTGGAGCCGTCAATCAAAAAGTAACCCCACCAGCCCATCCAGAAACGATGCTCAGAGGAATTGCCTCGATCAGCGAAGTGGGCAGAACACAGAGGAAGGGTCCCCCAGTGGAGGCCTCTTGGAGCGTCTTGGGGGCCTCTTGGCGGTCCCGGGCGCCTCTTAGAGCGTCTTGGGTGCCTCGGAGAGCTTCTTGGGGCCTCTTGGGGGTGTCTTGGGAGCCTCTTGGAGGCCTCTTGGGCGCCTGTTGGGGCCTGGGCGCCTCTTGGGGCCCTCTTGAAGCGCTCTTGGGAGCCTTGGGAGCGCTCTTGGAGCCCTCTTGGGCCATCTTGGAGCCATCTTGAGGCCTCGGATGGCCATCGGAAGCCACAAGGCGAGAAAGCCAAAAGCATTGATTTTCCAAGGTTTTGGATGGATTTTGGCCTCTTCGGGGCCTCCTGGGGGAGCTTCTGAGGCTTCCCAGGCTGGGAGCCACAGAGGGCTTCCAGGGGCCCTTCGGAGCCCCAGGGGGCTCCTAGGAGCCACGGGGGGCTTCACGCGAGGGGGCTCGCCGCCGACGACAATCGACGTCGACGCGGCGACCGATTCGATGTGTCGGCCCGATTGGGGCCGCCTGCTCGAATGCGAGGGAGGGAGCGGTCTGGTCGCACAGCGTCGGGGTTGGGGCAGGGGGGCGGGGGGGGGATTTGATGTGCATTGTTGGAACTGGTGTGTAATGCATGTATGTATGTCTGTCTGTATGTATGTATGTATTTTTGTATGTATGTAGGTATTTATGTATTTATGTATGTATGTATGTATGTATGTATGTATGCATGCATGTGTGTATGTGTGTATGTATGTATGTATGTATGTATGTATGTATGTATGTATGTATGTATGTATGTATGTATGTATGTATGTATGTGTGTACGTACGTATGTATGTATGTATGTATGCATGTATGTATGTATGTATGTATGTGTGTATGTGTGTACGTGTGTATGTGTGAAATGGCATGCGTGTATGTGTGTATGTGTGTATGTGTGTATGTGTGTGAATGTGAATGTGAATGTGAATGTGAATGTGAATGTGAATGTGAATGTGAATGTGAATGTGAATGTGAATGTGTGTGTGTGCGTGGCTCATCCGGACCTGCTGTTTTGTTGCGTGTCACTGCCTCCTGCCTCAGTCCAGTCCACCCATGTGCTGCGCTCTGCGGTAATTCGCTCGTGCGTGTCCCGGATCAGCGCATGGCGGCGGTGTCCCCACCTCGCCGCGGGGGGAACCGTGCGTGCGTGAGTGGGGTGCAAACGGGCGGGGGGGGCCTTGCTGAGGTCGAGCGTCCCGCACGTCGGGGGACGCAGCAAACGCTGTCGGATGGGATGCGCATGCGCGGGCGTCGAGTTTTCTGTTGGGGAGCTCGTCCTCCTCCTCCTCCTCCTCCTCCTCCTCCTCCTCCTCCTCCTCCCCCTCCTCCTCCTCTTCCTCCTCTTCCTCCTCCCCCTCCTCCTCCTCCTCCTCCTCCTCCTCCTCCTCCTCCTCCTCGGGCTAGTGGAGGGGCTTCTGGGAAGCATCGTTGAGGCCTCGTTGGGGCCTCTGGGGAGCCGCTTGGGGCCTCGTGGAGGTCTGTATGGGCTTTGGGGGCGAAAGGATGGACGTGTCGGCGGGTGTTCCATTGCCCGGACCTCTCTTGTGGCTCTCGTGGGGCCCTTTAGGGGCATCTTGGGGCCTTCTCGAAGGGTTTTTGGGACGTAATGAAGCCCCCTTCGGTCGGAGTGATATCTTCTTGGGGACCTCTTGGAGCCTCTTGGGCTGGCGCGGTTCGTGAACGCGGAATAATCGAAAACGGCAAAATCCATTCAAACGCCTGAGGGTAGTCAGCAGATTGTCCCCTTTGGAGCTCTTTTGGGGGCCTCTTAGAGCCCCATTGGCCGTCGTCGAAGCCTCGTCGACCGCCTCGGAAACATCTTGGACCGTCGTGAGGGTCCCTTGGAACCAGGATGGGGCTGCATCGAGTTGTGTCTTCGGGCCGTCTTGCCCATGTTGTAGCCTGGAAGGGCCGCTTTGGAGCCTGAAAAGGAGCCCAGAGAGGTGACGGGACCCCCCCGTGATGAGTTGAAAAGGCGGCCGTCGCCGCGACAAGGGGGGGTCAAATTGCCGGTTTGGGGTTCCTGGGGGGGGGGCTGATGGTGGGGGCTATGGTCGGACCGAGGTATAAGATCGACGTCGGTTCGGGGAGGGTACTTCTTCGTGCTTGTTGGATGTTCTTGTGCATCTTGGGGAGGGTACCTTTGGATGGTCTTCATTTTAGCAGGCGGAGGGTCTCGCGTTCTGGAAGGATGTTCTTCTGTCCTAGGTCCAGCCGTAATGTATCATGAAGGCCTTGCGGCCGGTGCTGCCGACCCTGGAAGAAGACCCCCATGGTGAATGTGACAGCCGGAGGTGTTCGGGAAGGTTGGGAGGACGAGGGTGGGGAATTAGGAGAGGGACGAGGAGGAGGCGGAGGCGGCGGAGGAGGAGGAGGAGGTCGTGAGTAATTTATTGATCCTAGGTCCGGCTGTCTCTCATGCGTGTTGTGACCCACGAGGTCGGTCGGCGGCTCGGCCGGGCCAGGTCTGCGTCAGGATGCGGCCGCTCCTCGGCTGGGAGAGGCAGGAGGGGCACCTCTGCTCCGTGGCGGCCTCAGACGAGCGCCTGGCCCGCGGACGGCCAGAGGCTGGCACCAGCACCATAATGCGGTCGAGCCGAGGTATAAGATCGAGGTTGGTTCGGGGAGTGTACCCTACTGAAAGAATTCGATTCGACGCAAGAGTGACCTTTCGCTGGAGTGACCTTTGATGCGGACCCCAACGGGGTCCCCCGATCGCTGAACGCGAAGCGGTAGCAGCGGCTTGTGCGCCAGGGTTTGGCCACTTTGCGCCCCTTTGATCCGCGCACCAAAGATCACTGTTACTTGGGGTCACTCTAGCGTGCAGCCCATCGAATGTTCTTCGTGTTTGTTGGGTGCTCTTGTGCATCCTGTGAGAGGGCGCCCTCGAATGTTCTGTGTGTTTTGGCCGGCGGAGGTTCCCATAGTCTTGCCGGATGTTATTACATCCTGGGTCTCCTCACCGTATCCCAGGGCTCCTTTCTGAACCCCGTTCGGGCTCTGAGCCCACTCGGCCGCCGAGCGGGCAGGGCACTGAGCCTGCTCGGCTGCCGAGTCGGCCAACCTCGCGCCGCCCCGTCGCAACTGAGCCCGCCTGCCGGCCCGAGTTGGCGGCCGAATTGGCTCAGACGCCGACTGAGCTCAGACGAGAGCCCCTGTGGCCAAGCCCCCCCGATCGTCGGAGCGCGCCCCGCGCCCCTGCCTCTACTCTTCCTCCTCCTCCTTCTGCTCCTCCTCCTCCTCCTCCTCCTCGTCCTCCTCCTCCTCCTCACCTCCTCCTCCTCCTCCTTCCACCTCCTCCTCCTCCTCCTCCTCCTCCTCCTCCTCCTCCTCCTCCTCCCCCTCCTCCTCCTCCTCCGCCTCCTCCTCCTCAACCTCCTTGTCCTCCCTCTCTTCATCCATCCCTTTTCCTAGTAATTAGTTCTTCCCTGTCGCGCATCCAGACGTGTCGGTAGGACGGGCTGGGCGTTTCGCTTGAGACACCCTTATCACCTATGATCCAGAAGCTTAACTTGAGGACACCCTCACGGATGGAGAGCGACTCGCTTTCAACATATTTGGTTCTCGCTTTGGCGCTGCGCACATTCGCTTCAAAAGTTAACAACAGCTTCACGGATGCAGGGTGGGTTGTTTTCAACATGCGTCTCGTGTGCGCGCCGCGCACGCTCGTCTCAAAAACTTGCATCAGATTCATTGATTTGTGGACCACGATCGATGGAGAGGAAGCACGTTGCCATCTCATTTCCAGATGTCTAAAACTGCTTTAAATGTGTCCCAAACATCTGAGAACATGTGTTAGACATGTTGGGAACATGTTTCAAACATCTGCAACGCATGTCTTATCGGTCAACGATCGGATTGTTAGGGTGTCCACTGCCATGGCATCCACCATCTGTTGATGGATGGCGACTCCTTGCCAAACTGTGGCCCTCGCCTGGGCTGCCCTCTTCCTGCCCCCCCCTCTGATCCTTCCCTTTCTCCACATGGCGGTGGTGCCGCCCGTCCGCACCCCCGGTGTGCCCTGTGCGCTCCTCTCTGCTCCTGCCGCCCGTCCCCGAGGAGCCCCTTTGCCCCCCGACCGTCCTGTGGTGCCGGGTCCTCGTTCTGCAGAGACGGCGCCCCCTTCCATCCTTCCTCCCTCCCCCTCTCCTCCTCCCCCTCCGCCCACCTCCGTCATCACCATCACTCCAGCACCCCCATCGTCCTCATCCGCGCGTCCCCCCCCCCTCCACTTCGGCACACCCCGCGCACGCTCCGTGGCCCCATGGGGAGCTCCGCCGAAGGCCCCAGAGGAAGGGTTCCTATGGCACCGCCGCCCTCATATCGGCACGCCGCTCACACGTTTCGTGGACCTATCGGGAGCTCCACCGAAGGCCCCAGTTGCAGGGTTCGCATGGCACCGCCGCCTCCATTTCGGCGCACCCGTCACACGGTTCGTGGCCCAGGGGGCTCAGCCGAAGGCCCCAGTCGCAGGTTCGCATGCCACCGCCGCCTCCATTTCGGCACACCGCTCACACGTTTCGTGGCCTTATAGGGAGCTCCGCCGAAGGCCCCAGTTGCAGGGTTCGCACGGCACTGTCGCCTCCATTTCGGCGCACCCCTCACGCGCGCGTTTCCTGACTCCATATGGAGTTCCTCCGAAGGCCCCAGTTGCAGGGTTTTCATGCCACCGCCACCTCCATTTCGGCATACCCTTCATTCATTTTGTGGCATAGGGAGCTCCACCGAAGGCCACAATGGCAGGGTTCACATGGCACCGCCGCTTCCATTTCGGCACGCCGCTCACACGTTTCGTGGCCCCATAGGGAGTTGCGCCGAAGGCCCCAGTGGCAGGTTTCGCATGGCACCGCCGCTTCCGTTTTGGCACACCCCTCACACGTTCGTGGCCCCATAGGGAGTTGCGCCGAAGGCCACTGGCAGGGTTCACATGGCACCGCCGCTTCCATTTCGGCACACCGCTTACACGTTTCGTGGCCCCATAGGGAGTTGCGCCGAAGGCCCCAGTGGCAGGTTTCGCATGGCACCGCCGCCTCCATTTCGGCACACCCCTCACACGTTTCGTGGCCCCATAGGGAGTTGCGCCGAAGGCCCCAGTGGCAGGTTTCGCATGGCACCGCCGCCTCCATTTCGGCACACCCCTCACACGTTCCGTGGCCCCATAGGGAGTTGCGCCGAAGGCCCCCGTGGCAGGGTTCGCATGGCACCGCCGCCCTCGTATCGGCACAGCCTTTACATGTCCCGCGTGCCCATTGAGAGCTCCACCGAAGGCCCCAGCGGCAGGGTTCGCACGGGATCTGCCGAAGGCCCCAGTGGAAGGGTTCGCTTGGCACCGCCGCCTCCATTTCGGCACACTCCTCACACGTTTCGTTGCCACATAGGGAGCTCCACTGAGGGGAGAACCCACAACGGCGGTATTCACACTTGCATATGGTTGGGCCCTTCGCCAGGATGATTTTTTCAATGGCCCTTTTTTCGCAACCGTCCTGTGGTGTTGGGTCCTCGTTTTGAAGAGACAGCGCCTCGCGTTCCTCCTTCTCCTCCTTCTCCTCCTCCTCGCCCTCCTCCTCCCCCTCTTTCCTCCTCCCATCCCTGCCTCTGCCCTCCGCATGTCCACCCACGGCGCTTCGTGGCCACATAGGGAGCTCCACCAAAGGCCCCAGTGGCTTTCACCACATGCGTCCCGCTCCACCCACTACGGCGCTTCGTGGCCCCATAGAGAGATCCACCCACGGCCCCAGTGGCTATGACCACATGCGTCCCGCGCCACCCAGTGCGGCGCAAGGGGCTCCACCGAAGGCCCCAGTGGCTGTACCACATGCGTCTCGCGCCACCCAGTACGGCCTTCGTGGCCTCATAGGGGTCTCCACCGAACAGAGGCGGTGACCACATGCGTCCTGCTCCACCCAGTAAGGTGCGCCACCGAGTATCACGCTTCGTGGCCCCATAAGGAGCCCCACCGAAGGCCCCAGTGGCTGTGACCACATGCGTCCCGCGCCACCCAGTACAGCACTTCGAAGCGCCATAGGGAGCTCCACCGAAGGCCCCAGTGGCTGTGACCACATGCGTCCCGCGCCACCCAACACGGCGTCTCGTGGCCCCATCCTGTCGTGTGCGAGATAAACGAGCATGGCACGCGGAGCGCGCCAGGCGATTCACAGCTGCTCTCACACATCAGCCAGGTCATCGCGCAGCAAGATTGCACACACGACATCACTCACTCCTCATGCCAGCAGCATCGTATCGCAGCCTCTGCACGCACAGCTTCGCACGGATTATGGTTTCAAGTCTCCCTCAAGCGCATCACGCATAATAGCCTCTGCACGCACGACTCCGCAAGGAAAATGATTTCATGTCTGCTTCACAGGGCCGATCTCGCAAAGAACATGGTGTCGTCCATTTGTCACCGGGCCTCTCCCTCCACCCTCCCCCTCCTTCATCCTTCTCCTCCTCATCTTCCTCCCCCTTCTCCTCCCTCCTCCTGCCTCCCTCCCTCTCTCCTTCCGCCCGCCGTCCCACCAACCCGTCCTCCAGACTCCAATAGGAAGTCCTCCGCACTCGCCCGCACTCCTCTCATCGGATGCTTCCGGCACTAGTCCCCAGAGGCCTCCGCTCGAATTTGACGTCCTCCGCTCTCGTTCGTCCATCTCCGCATCCCTCCTTCCGCCCGCCGTCCCACCAACCCAGCCTCCAGCCTCCAATTGAAAATCGTCCGCACTCGTGCGCACTCCTCTCATCGGATGCCTCCGGCACTACTAGTAGTCCCCAGAGGCCTCCGCTCGAATTTGACATCCTCCACACTCGTTCGTCCACCCCCGCATCCCCCCGCACCCCCTCCAGAACCCACCACTCCCTCCTCCTCCCCGAGTCTCCTTCCCCTCCTCTTCCTCCGCCCCCTCCGTACCTATTTCCTGCTCTCTCCTCCCTGCCTGCCTCCTCCTCCGTGCCTCCCCCCCTCCTTCCCTCCCCTCGTCCCCCTCCTTCATCTTCGTCCTCGTCGTCTTCCTCGCTCCGTCCCTCCCTCCTTCCTTCCTTTCTTCTCTCCGCCCCCCCTCCCCCTCCTCCTCCTTCCTCCTGCTCCTCCTCCTCCTCCTTCTCCTTCTTCTCCCTCCTCCTCCTCCTCCTCCTTCTCATCCTCCTCTCCGCCTCCTCCTCCTCCTCCTCCTCCTCTCCTCCTCCTCCTCCTCCTCCCCTCCTATCCTTATTCCTTATTAGAATATACTCCTACTCCCCCCTCAGGCCGGCAGATAGCGGGCGCATCCGGGTGGTCCCATCCTAACCTGTAAAAAACAATACAAAATCAACATTTTCTTATTTTTTCCTCTCGACATGGACGTCCTGTCGTCCACGGCGATAATCCATTGCAAAAAATACCACAAAGAGCACACGCGCGCGTTCATGTCAGAATCCTACCGAACACCGTGTGTTTGCAAGCATTTCAACATAAAAACATCAAAAACCCAATGTTTTTTTTTCACAAAAATTGTACAAATTTCCCGCCCGGGCTCTCTTGCTGAAATCATAGGAA